GACCTACATTGCTGCAGATTCTTAGGTGAGTTAATAATATCAGCTTTTGCTTGTAGTTAAGAAAGCCCCATGAGCGGTAATGTTAAACCCCTGAATGAGTGAAAGTTAAAAGTTTTCAATAATTTCAGAGTCACGTACTGCTAAGCAGAGGTGCTCAATGATGCAAGTGACTGTGAGACAATAGGAAATTTTCAGTGATCTGCACTGATAATTTTGTATGCTGTAAACCATACAAAACTGATAATGAACTAAAGCTAAAGCTTGGTGGCACACAGAGAGCTAAAGAGATAATATTCTTGCATTCTTGCCAAGAAAATGTTTGCTTTCTGCTTCAGAGCAAAGTCCCTCCTAAGGCACATGAACCTGCTGATTTCAGATGTTTGGATAGATCTAAATCTGCTTCCTCATGTCCAGAAGCAGAATCTGAATGTAGCATTCTGATCATTATGCCCAATCACTCTTTGATTACTGCCACGTCTTGCTTCAAGTGCAGGATTGACAGGGCACAATTCTCTGGGCAGTATTAAATGAGAAATCAGACTAAGATCACTTTTCATATTAAAATCTGTGACTTAGTATTAACTCACAGAGTTGCCCTGTCTGTTGCTAGGGCTAGACCACATTCCCTGGTATTCTTCCATCTGTTTGTAGAGAATGAAACAGTTACCACAACAGGTTTTGATCTTCATGAATTCAACTGTGATAAATCCCTTTCTTCCCTTTCACCACCCACTGTGTCTCACCCAGGTTGGAGCTGGGAGCTGTTGTGGTTTTAGACTTTCCTAAGCATAAAGTCAATGCAAAGGTAGTACAACCAAGGGCATTAGCTGCACCAAAGTTGGTGGGGAATGGTCAAGTTCATCTTTACTGAAGATACAGTACCAGACATGAGAAGGCATTATGGCTGTGCCTTCTTTGTACAGCATAACAAGAAAGCCCTTTGCACATGATATCTACAAGATATTACAAACTGAATGCCTTACTCAGCTAGTGCATATTGGCACCATTTGACCTCCACTGAGCTCCTTTGAGAGTCAGGTCTATTCACCAGGCCTACTCTGCAAATGTGGCTTTTGCTAGTTGGTCCAACATTGAGCATATGAAGAGTGTTGGGTTTTTTTTATAATAAAGATACTGGGATCCTCATTGGATGAATGAATTGGCCAGTCTGAACATTACTTTCGCATTTTCATCAGCAGTTCCATGGCCTCATTTAGCAATAAAAAAATGTGACTTGTTTCTTAGATGCCTGGATAAAGGAACAAGGAAACTGTCAGGGGTAACTCATTTTTCTAAGATATCTGATGATCAAAGAAACTTTTTGAATTGCAGATGACAATAGGAAGGGGGATGAAAAGGAGAGGAAGGAAGCTGGTGAGAGCAGCCACAGCTGCTGGAGGCTGAGGTAGGTAAGCAAGCCTAACATCTAAGAGCTGCTCATATTGAGCTCAGAAGACAGTTTCTGGCAGAGGGCCAGGAGATACTTATGGAGCCTGATCCAAGGCATACTGAAATCAAATGGTCATGGTCCTTTGACTTTAGAAAGATCAGGGTCAGGGCTTATGGGAAAGAAGGCACTCTTTTTACTCTCTGGGCATTTCACTGGAAGCTGCCACCTATCAGTCTAGATTCTTGCTCAGTTCCCTCACTTGGGCCCCCTTCAATATCCATGGTTAAATATTAAGTCTCTTGTTGTTTGCTTCCTTTGGCCCTGACTAAAGCTGGACCAGTGTCATGTAAGTATAAATACCCACTACTCAGGCCACACATCTCAATGTCCATCTGGATATGAACCCTGAAATGGTCCATACTAATGTTACTCTAGCCTCGGTACTGCAGGGAGCTAAGACTTAGGGTCTGAAACTCAATTAATCATTTATACTTCCACAAACACAAAAAAGCCCTGAGAGAACCTGAGCTTAATTGTGATTCACTTGGAGCTATACAGTAGCTGTAGAACAGACTTCATGGCTCCCAGCTTACATTTTAATTCATAAACTGAAGATCATTCATTTGGGAAAATTAAATAACAAAAGGTAATTGCAAAACTACCAGGAAGGGTGGCTAAGTCTTCCCCACTGGCTAAGGCAGCATCTTTGTGAAGGTAATCTTTTCCATTTTGTGAGATCATTTCCTGAATCTTATCCTTCTGGGCTTTTTTGAAAGCCCACTAAAAACAGTAGAAAGTCTTTCAGTTAATGTTAATGAACTTTAAATGAAGTCCTTGATGGCTTTAAAAGGGCTCTGATTCCTGGTGTAAGCAAGTCCCTTCAAGAAGAAATGGCAATGAAAGTGGGCTGTCTGCTCTCCAAGTCTAAAACTTGGTTTGAATCAGTGTTCCTGATTTAATATATAACCTCTCAGACTGTTTCTTTAAAATTATAATCCAGGGCGATCTCATGACATATTTTCCTTGTCTCCCCTACCCCCCACCTTATCTGGGACTGTAATGGCAGCAGTTCTACCCCAGCATATCAGAGAATTGTGCTACCAATACTCTCACTAGTTTACTGAGAGAGTCTATTCCTAGAATGGTGATTGTGGACAAATGGGAAAATTTTTCACTGTGGTTATGAAATATTATGTGCGTATCAAATTATCTTTTTAATCTCGTGGAGCGTTTTACTTGACCTCAAGAGGTTAACTTTTCCACAGAGAGATTTGTTGCAAGTCAGGAACAAGTGACCCAAGTGTGCATGTGTATGTGTGTGGGCGTGTCATATAGCCATGTCTGAGTTGGATGGGCAGACTGTCAAGACTCACTGACAGTTGAATAAGTCTACCTTGACAATGGATATGCCTGTATATAATGCAGGGGTGGGCAAATGTGGCCCACGGGCTGGACGCAGCCCACCGAGCCATTCTATCTGGCCTGCGGGGCCCCCCAAAAATTTAGAAAATTAATATTAATCTGCCCTGGGCTGC